AAACGAAAGAAAGAAAAGAAGAAAAAAAGAAAAGAAGAAGAGAGAGAGAGAGAGAAAAAAAAAAAAAAAAAAAAACAATGGCGGGCAACACCCCCCCTCAAAATAGTGGGAGAGAAGACCCCAAAGGAGAGAAAGCCGATCATGATGATGATGATCTTTCGCCCCGAGCAGCAGCATCCGTCTTCTCCACCGCCAACAACAACAGCAATAACAACAACAACACACTCGCAACAGCAAGTCCTCCTCCTCCTCCTCCTCCCAGCCGCAGCCAACACGGGGCCCTAAGCATCCTCAGCGAACGGCCGCATAGCGCCGCCGCCGCCGCCGCCGCCGTGCAATCAGACCGCACCCCCTCAAGCCCAAGCGACGAAAGCAAGGGCACCCAAACCGAGAAGACGGTTCCCTCCTGGCTGAAAGCCGCATACCGCAAGTTCCCGCGCAAGAGCAGCCAGAAGAGCCAGCACGATTACGAGCACGACCACGACGACCAGAACGAGAGCAGTATCCAGGTCAACAACCCGTCGGTCTTGCTTCCTCCCCGGGGCCCCAGCCCCAGCTCTAGCGCAAGTTCCGCACCGCCAGCTAGAGACGGGGCCGGGAGCGGGAGCGGGAGCGGGGACGGGAATTCCCGCAGCGGGAGCATGAGGATCGACGCTCTGCTTGGGTTCCGTCTGCGGCCTGCTGCTGGCGCGGGGCGTCCTGGCGATGAGTTCGCGCCTCAGGAGCCGCTGCTTGTGGGGATGGCTATGGCTGGCGGGGATGCTGGGGCGGGGGCGGATTGCGGTGGGGTAGGGAGGAGGGAGGATGCGGAGTGGACGGAGCGATCCCCGGTCGGGGGGTCGCTTGCTGAGGCGACGTCGCTGGCTGGGGTTGGGGAGAGGGGGGTGGAGTTGGGGGAGGGTGGGAGGAGGGAGGGGCATGAGGAGGGGGTGCTGGAGGAGATGGAGGAGGTGAGGGTGATGTTGAGGGGGGGTGCTGGGACGGAGGAGGGAGAGAGTGAGGGTGAGGGTGAGGGCGATGGAGAGGATAAGACAGGCGGGCCGGCGGGAGATGGAAAAGTGAAGCCGCGAAAGAGTGTGAAAGTAAGTGTGATTTCCTTTTGCGGTATTCTGCATCCAGGCATCGTGTTGTCGCACATGTCTCGTTCAAGGTTGGATCTTGTTTGTTGTGTTTGTTTCGCTTGGCGAAGCGAATCCCAGTCGCCAGCCTGGAAAAAGAGAGGAGCGCCTTTGCAGTGGTCCCTTATCCAAAGAAGAAAAGAAGCCAGCGCTTTCTTTCTCTTTGGGGATGGGGAGATGAGCCTCTCTTTATCCCACATGAGTTTCCTCCCGTTTCCTCCCAAACTCGCTTTATCCCCATCTTCCTCAAAAGCCGCTGACAATCCCTCCAGCGTGAGATCCCAAAAGAAGTCATTGCAATCCGCCAAATGTTGCAAGCCAATCCAGGCATGGCGACCCACCCTTTTGCCATTCAAGGCGAAGCCGCCATCGAGGCCCTACTCGACGACACGTTCAGCCCCACGCACGAGCTCAACCTCCGCAATGTGAAGCTGATGGCACTTGTTCAGTCGCAGAGATCGGCACTGGACTTCCAAACAGTAATGGAAAAGCAGCTGCGTAGCGAGATGCGCGAAGTCTACGCCGCGAACGCAGAGCTCAGAGGGAAGCTTGCCGCAGCCGAGGAACAGCGAGGTGGTGATGGAGATAGAGACGACGCGGAGAAGTGCCAGAAGAAGTGTCGGGAGCTGGAGAAGAGGATCGAGGAGATGCAGGCGGAGATCAATGAGTACGAGGACGGCAATTTCATGACAGAAGACGATTGCGCGCAGATGAGTGCTGACAGAGACAGGAGACACCAGGAGGACACCGAGGACCTGAAGGCCGACATCGAGAAAGGGAAGCGTGAGCACAGTAGCCTGCAGAATAAATTCAAAGAGCTAGAGAAGGTGCATGAGCAGACGAAACAGGAGCTGCTCGTTGAGAAAGGATCGAACTCGAAGGTGTTTAGGGAGATCAAGGTGAACGAACTCAAACAGGCTAATGACAAGATTGAAGAACTGGAGGAGGAAAATAAACGGTTGAAGACTGAGTCCGAGACGAAGACTAAAGCCTCTAGCAAGGATTT